AGTCCGGATAATCGAAAGTCCGGATAATCGAAAGTCCGGATAATCGAAAGTCCGGATAATCGAAAGTCCGGATAATCGAAAGTCCGGATAATCGAAAGTCCGGATAATCGAAGTCCGGATAATCGAAAGTCCGGATAATCGAAAGTCCGGATAATCGAAGTCCGGATAATCGAAAGTCCGGATAATCGAATGTCCGGATAATCGAAAGTCCGGATAATCGAAAGTCCGGATAATCGAAAGTCCGGATAATCGAATGTCCGGATAATCGAATGTCCGGATAATCGAAAGTCCGGATAATCGAAAGTCCGGATAATCGAATGTCCGGATAATCGAATGTCCGGATAATCGAAAGTCCGGATAATCGAAAGTCCGGATAATCGAAAGTCCGGATAATCGAAAGTCCGGATAATCGAAAGTCCGGATAATCGAAAGTCCGGATAATCGAAAGTCCGGATAATCGAAAGTCCGGATAATCGAAAGTCCGGATAATCGAAAGTCCGGATAATCGAAAGTCCGGATAATCGAAAGTCCGGATAATCGAAAGTCCGGATAATCGAAAGTCCGGATAATCGAAAGTCCGGATAATCGAAAGTCCGGATAATCGAAAGTCCGGATAATCGAAAGTCCGGATAATCGAAAGTCCGGATAATCGAAAGTCCGGATAATCGAAAGTCCGGATAATCGAAAGTCCGGATAATCGAAAGTCCGGATAATCGAAAGTCCGGATAATCGAAAGTCCGGATAATCGAATGTCCGGATAATCGAAAGTCCGGATAATCGAAAGTCCGGATAATCGAAAGTCCGGATAATCGAATGTCCGGATAATCGAATGTCCGGATAATCGAAAGTCCGGATAATCGAAGTCCGGATAATCGAAAGTCCGGATAATCGAAAGTCCGGATAATCGAAGTCCGGATAATCGAAAGTCCGGATAATCGAAGTCCGGATAATCGAAAGTCCGGATAATCGAAAGTCCGGATAATCGAAAGTCCGGATAATCGAAAGTCCGGATAATCGAAAGTCCGGATAATCGAAAGTCCGGATAATCGAAAGTCCGGATAATCGAAAGTCCGGATAATCGAAAGTCCGGATAATCGAAAGTCCGGATAATCGAAAGTCCGGATAATCGAAGTCCGGATAATCGAAAGTCCGGATAATCGAAAGTCCGGATAATCGAAAGTCCGGATAATCGAAAGTCCGGATAATCGAAAGTCCGGATAATCGAAAGTCCGGATAATCGAAAGTCCGGATAATCGAAAGTCCGGATAATCGAAAGTCCGGATAATCGAAAGTCCGGATAATCGAAAGTCCGGATAATCGAAAGTCCGGATAATCGAAAGTCCGGATAATCGAAAGTCCGGATAATCGAAAGTCCGGATAATCGAAAGTCCGGATAATCGAAAGTCCGGATAATCGAAAGTCCGGATAATCGAAGTCCGGATAATCGAAAGTCCGGATAATCGAAAGTCCGGATAATCGAAAGTCCGGATAATCGAAAGTCCGGATAATCGAAAGTCCGGATAATCGAAAGTCCGGATAATCGAAAGTCCGGATAATCGAAAGTCCGGATAATCGAAAGTCCGGATAATCGAAAGTCCGGATAATCGAAAGTCCGGATAATCGAAGGTCCGGATAATCGAAAGTCCGGATAATCGAAAGTCCGGATAATCGAATGTCCGGATAATCGAAAGTCCGGATAATCGAAAGTCCGGATAATCGAAAGTCCGGATAATCGAAAGTCCGGATAATCGAAAGTCCGGATAATCGAAAGTCCGGATAATCGAAAGTCCGGATAATCGAAAGTCCGGATAATCGAAAGTCCGGATAATCGAAAGTCCGGATAATCGAAAGTCCGGATAATCGAAAGTCCGGATAATCGAAAGTCCGGATAATCGAAAGTCCGGATAATCGAATGTCCGGATAATCGAATGTCCGGATAATCGAATGTCCGGATAATCGAAAGTCCGGATAATCGAAAGTCCGGATAATCGAATGTCCGGATAATCGAATGTCCGGATAATCGAAAGTCCGGATAATCGAAAGTCCGGATAATCGAAAGTCCGGATAATCGAAAGTCCGGATAATCGAAAGTCCGGATAATCGAAAGTCCGGATAATCGAAAGTCCGGATAATCGAAAGTCCGGATAATCGAAAGTCCGGATAATCGAAAGTCCGGATAATCGAAAGTCCGGATAATCGAAAGTCCGGATAATCGAAAGTCCGGATAATCGAAAGTCCGGATAATCGAAAGTCCGGATAATCGAAAGTCCGGATAATCGAAGTCCGGATAATCGAATGTCCGGATAATCGAATGTCCGGATAATCGAAAATCCGGATAATCGAATGTCCGGATAATCGAATGTCCGGATAATCGAATGTCCGGATAATCGAAAGTCCGGATAATCGAATGTCCGGATAATCGAAAGTCCGGATAATCGAAAGTCCGGATAATCGAAGGTCCGGATAATCGAAAGTCCGGATAATCGAAAGTCCGGATAATCGAAAGTCCGGATAATCGAAAGTCCGGATAATCGAAGTCCGGATAATCGAAAGTCCGGATAATCGAAAGTCCGGATAATCGAAAGTCCGGATAATCGAAAGTCCGGATAATCGAAAGTCCGGATAATCGAAAGTCCGGATAATCGAAAGTCCGGATAATCGAAAGTCCGGATAATCGAAAGTCGGATAATCGAAAGTCCGGATAATCGAAAGTCCGGATAATCGAAAGTCCGGATAATCGAAAGTCCGGATAATCGAAGGTCCGGATAATCGAAAGTCCGGATAATCGAAGGTCCGATAATCGAAAGTCGGATAATCGAAGTCCGGATAATCGAATAGTCCGGATAATCGATAGTCCGGATAATCGAAAGTCCGGATAATCGAAAGTCCGGATAATCGAAAGTCCGGATAACCGAAGGTCCGGATAACCGAAGGTCCGGATAATCGAAGGTCCGGATAATCGAAGGTCCGGATAATCGAAGGTCCGGATAATCGAAAGTCCGGATAATCGAAAGTCCGGATAATCGAAAGTCCGGATAATCGAAAGTCCGGATAATCGAAAGTCCGGATAATCGAAAGTCCGGATAATCGAAAGTCCGGATAATCGAAAGTCCGGATAATCGAAAGTCCGGATAATCGAATGTCGGATAATCGAATGTCCGGATATTCGAATGTCCGGATATTCGAAAGTCCGGATATTCGAAGGTCCGGATATTCGAAGGTCCGGATAATCGAAGGTCCGGATAATCAAAGGTCCAGATAATCGAAAGTCCGGATAATCGAAAGTCCGGATGATCGAAAGTCCGGATAATCGAAAGTCCGGATAATCGAAAGTCCGGATAATCGAAAGTCCGGATAATCGAAAGTCCGGATAATAGAAAGTCCGGATATTCGGATATTCGGATATTCGGATATTCGGATAATCCAAAGTCCGGATATTCGGATATTCGGATATTCGGATAATCGAAAGTCCGGATAATCAAAAGTCCGGATAATCGAAAGTCCGGATATTCGGATATTCGGATATTCGCAAATTCGGATATTCGGATATTCGGTTATTCGGTTATTCGGATATTCGGATATTCGGATATTCGGATATTCGGATATTCCGATATTCGGATATTCGGATATTCGGATATTCGGATATTCGGATATTCGGATATTCGGATATTCGGATATTCGAGATTCGGATATCCGAGATTCGGATATCGAGATGGAGATTCGGATATTCCGATTTCGATATTCCGATTTTCGGAAATTCCGAGATTCGGATATTCCGAGATCGGATATTCCGAGATTCGGATATTCCGAAATTCGGATATTCCGAGATTCGGATATTCCGAGATTCGGATATTCCGAGATTCGGATATTCCGAGATTCGGATATTCCGAGATTCGGATATTCCGGATCGAATATTCCGAGATTCGGATATTCGAGATTCGGATATTCGAGATTCCGGATATTCCGAGATCGGATATCGAGATTCGGATATTCCGGATTCGGATATTCGGATATTTAGATATTCAGAAATACGATTGGCCAAATCGATTCAGCCGTTTTCGAGTTTTTACTTGGACATTTGAAAGGCGCTCCATTTTATATATAAGATTACGATAATCGTATAATTACGGATTACTATGTTTGTACGATATTACGAATTCGTACGACATTATGATATTCGTAAGATATTGTGATATTATGAATTCGTACGATATTACAATTTGTAAGATACTCGTATGAGATTAGAAGGGATTCAATGATATTAAACATAGGAAAACAAAAATATATTATGAGTATAAATACGAATTTATAATCAAAGATAAACAAGTAAAAAGTATAAATATGAGAATCAACGAGATTCGAACCAGATTCACGAGATTCTACTAGAACTCCAAGATATAGCCATTACCGACGGTAGCATTTAAACACTGACAAAATCATAAACAATCTCACCTGATTAAGATATAAGAATATAAGCTCAATGTCTTGCAATTGTGTCTGTATAAGATAGATTTATTAATAATAATCAAAATTTGATATATTAAAACAAATGCCATTTGCACCTAGTAAAACTTTAAATTTTCGATAACGACATCAATTTATTATATTTCGGTTATAAAATCATTAAATTGAACGCGAACTAATTGTTATTCACTACTATCACTACTAACTATTCACTATATTAATTAATTATTGATTAAAAATCGCGAACAAGACGCTACAATAATTTGAAGACGAACTGCCATATTAGTTTGACAGCTGGTCCACTGCGAAGCCATTTGCAAATAATCAGGTGCAGCAACATAACAATGTTCGCATTTAACGACGTCAATGTCCAATCCGTTGTGTGTCGTTAACAAATCTGACGTTTAGGTTACCGTTCTTTCGCGCCGGTTATTACTTTTATCCCTTATCCTTGACAAAAGGATATTATTACTGTTGTGTCAAATTGTTTAAAATAAATTTATTGTTGTGTTTTTCGAAAAAATATATAACAAGTAATGGCCGATGAATTGCCTTACAAAGCAGAATATGCTAAAAGCGGTAGGGCTGCTTGTAAAGGATGCAAAACTCCCATATCGAAGGATACTTTAAGGCTTGCCGTGATGGTCCAGGTATAATATTATTCTCCATTATAAATATCTTAAAATTAGACTTTTCTGAATATGCATTATTTATTTATTTGGTACTGATTTTTTTTGCATTGTTATGATACCAAATATTGAAGTTACTTTAACAGGACATCTTTGAGTTAATGTTAGGGTACTTGCTATTGTGTAGATTTAATTATTGTTTTATAATATTTAGCTATGATAATAAAACAAATTTAGCTTCCTGTACTATGTAGTTTAGATACAATAAAATATTATAAAATGGTTATTATTATCATAAATTTACATACACACACATTATATATTATATTACTTCAGAAAGCTAATTCTTCACTGATTTGTTCATATCTTGTTTAATTGTTCAAATTGTTTCTTTCTCTATGCATAACTCTGTTTAAAAGAATATAAACAATCTCTGGTTGACAGTTTGGAGAACAAACATAAGATTTAATTTTACGGCTACATAATTATAAGTAGATACTTTTCGACTTGCAGTGTTGTCCACGTATAATATTATACTCCATTCTATTGACATATCATTTTTGCTTGGTGACCGATATCTTAAAATTAAACTTATCTGAATATGCATTATTTTATTTGGTACTAATTCTTTTTTGCATTGTTATGATACCAAATATTGAAGTTACTTTAACAGGACATCTTTTTGTTAATGTTAGGGTACTTGTTATTGTGTAGATTTAATTATTGTTTTATAATATTTAGCTATAATGATAAAACAAATTTAGCTTTCTGTACTATGTAGTTCAGATAAAATACAATATTATAAAATGGTTATTATTATCATAAATTTACATGCACACACATTATATATTATATTTCTTCAGAAAGCTTCTTTACTGATTTGTTCATATCTTGTTTAATTGTTCAATTGTTTCTTTCTCTATGCATAACGCTGTTTAAAAGAATATTAACAATCTCTGGTTGACATTTTGGCAAACAGACATAAGATTTAATTTTACTGCTACATAATTATAAATAGATACTTTACGGCTTGCCGTAATGGTTCAGATATAATATTATACTCCATTCGATTGACATATTATTTTTGCTTGGTGACCGATATCTTAAATTAGGCTTATGTGATAATGCATTATTTATTTATTTGGTACTAGTTTTTTGTTACGATACCAAATATTTTAATAAATTTAACAGGGTTTTTGTTACTATGTACATTTAATTATCCTTTCATAATAGCTCTAAATTTAAATATCTATATATTTCATTTATAAAACTAACTTTTTTAAATTCAACAGATGTGTTTCAATTATTTCCAGTTTTTCTTCATACAAAGTGTAAAAACTATCTAAAGCTTCAGTTTTTGAACTTCCAAAATCCTCCAATTTATTTCTCCCAATTGTTGTGCCTATACATCCCCATGATCGAAACACCCAGTAACTGTAATTTTAATATTTGACCATAAAAAATAATTGAAAATAAAAAATAATTTAGAGCCAAATAAGAAATATGAAAAACAGATTTATCAATTTATCATTTATTGGAATCATATTTCAATAAACGGTTTCACATTCCAATAGTTGTAATTTATGATGAGAATTTTTATCGGATTGGATATCTGTTTTTCCTAAAACAGCATTGAGAAATTTATCCTATTCTTTAATTGAAAATTCAGCTATAATAATAAAACATATTTAGCTTTCTGTACTATAGTTAAGATAGAGTACAGTATTATGAAATGGTTATAAATATTATAAATTTATACACATTCATATTAAATATTAATATGCAATTTTCTTCACGGATTTTGTCATGTCTTGTTTACAGATTTTCATAGTTATTTCCTTATTTAATTTCTTTCCTTTGCATAATCCTGTTTAAAAGAATATCAACAATATTAGGCATGAGACATAAAATTTAATTCGTTTGCCAGATAATTATAAACATTGATAAATGTAATAATTTATTTATTTTCATAGTGCTCTTTTTATTTTTAATGTAATATTTATTCCAGTCTGCATTCCACGATGGAAAACAACCAAATTGGTTTCACATGAAATGTTTTTTTATGAAACAAAAACCAAAAACTGTTGGTGATATTAAAGATTTTGCATCACTTCGATATGAAGATCAACAAAAGGTGCAAGAGAAAGTTGGTAAGTTTTTCTTTGTATTGATATTTCATTTCAACTGTACTCCACTTTAATAGATATATTTTGAGTAGCATAATGTATATATTATTTTTTTTATTACTTTCAATAGATGCTTGTGGTTCAGGGGCTATCGTTCCTGATGAGAAAGGTAAAGGAAAGAAAAGAGCCAAAAATATACCAGGCTTAAGTGACTTTGGTATTGAATATGCTGCATCAAGCAGAGCTGCATGCAGAGGCTGTGAACAGAAAATTGCCAAGGTAATATAAAATTTACACACAACTATTCATTTTGATATAATTTTCCCTTCTGTCAAATTAAAGTTTAATCTTCACTATACAATTATCTTAAAAATTATGCATAATGTTCATGTTTTGACTATTGCAATATTTATTTGTTATCACTATCATTTGTTGTAAATTTTGTTTTTGTTCTTTAGGATGAAATAAGAATAAAAAAGACTGTATATGATACTGAAATCGGCATGAAATATGGGGGACAAGCTTTGTGGCACCATCTTGAGTGCTTTGCTAAGGTGAAAATTATATTTTTCAGCTGTTGCATTCATTAAAAATAATATTTTAATGTTTAATTATTTTTCTAGATGAGAACTGAGTTAGAATATTTTGAAAGTGGTGATATATTACCTGGTTTCAAATCATTATCTAAAAATGATAAAAGTGAAGTTTTAAAACAACTGCCGTAAGTAGTCTTTGCAATATTGATACTGAGGTTACAAACATTTCTTACACCACAGTCTACTTCTACATATGTTTTGTTTTTCCGTATTTTTTATTTGAAACAAAATTGTATTTTTGTTCTAGTAAAATTAAAAGTGAAGATTTACCAGAAGTGAAGAAAATTAAAAAAGAGCCCAAAGACGAAGTAGATACTGCACATGACGATCAAAAAGAGAAAGATTTACAAGAACAAAGTAAAATAATGTTTAAGTACAGAGATTCTTTGAAACAACACTTGAAGAAAAATGATATGATATTGTTATTGGAACACAATAAACAAGAAGTGCCACCTGGAGAAGATAGAGTAAATAGACTTTATTAGTAGCAAATATTTATTTTAATAGTTTAATAATTTTCTTGTTAATTTTTATTTTTTTCAATAAGAAAATAATGATTATTTGTTTTTAGATTTTGGACCGATTAAGTGATATAATGACTTTTGGAGCTCTAGCACCTTGTAAGGAATGCAATGGAGACCATATGTATTTGAGAACAATGGATATATGT